TAAGATAGAAAATGCCTTAAAGGTTGGAAGGCTTTCTACTAAAAGGGTCCCATTCAACTAGTTTTTAGGAAGCAAGTCAGGTAACAAATTGGCAGGTTTTAGGTAACTTTGTGTCCTACAGCTCAAATGCTGCCACTATCATTTATTTGTTTTAAGTAATTTGCAAATTATCTCATTTCTATGAATTGGAAATTATTCCATATGACAAACACCAGAGTTTTCCAAACTCCCCCAAAAAGTTTGATTGGATAAATGCTATTAAAACCAAACCAAAACAAAAGGACTTACAACAACAACAAAAAAAAGTTTGCATAACACTGAGTAACAAAGATGAAGTGGTTTCTTTACAGTAGGACTTTGCAGAATGTTTAATATGGCAATATGTATTGGAAATCCCCACTATAGAGATAATATTTCCCATACTTACTTTGTTATGGGTGTGGTTCATGGCATCAAAGACCACTAATAACAGATATAATAATAAATAAAAAGTTTGAAATGTTATGAAATTTACCAGAGTGTGGCTCAGAGACATGAAATTAACACATGCCATTGGAAAATATAGCAATGACAGATTTGCTTGATGCAGGGCTGTCATAAACTTTCAATTTGTAAAAAAAAATATGAAATTTCTATAAAGCACAATAAAGTGAGGCACAAACAAGGTATGTCTGTATAAGTTACTTAGAGATGATTTAAAGTATATGAGATAAAGGGAATATATTGTAAGCAAATACCATGCCATTTAATATAAGGGATTCAGGCATCCTTGGATCTTGGTATCCATTGGAGTTCCTGAAACCAATCCCCCAGAGTGACTGAGAGACAACTGTATATGCTTTAGGAAATCAATATTTTCCAAGTCCTATGCAAGTACTATTTTACTTATGCAAATTTAAAAAAAGTATAGTACAAGGGTGTTGTTTAAATGAAAGTAATTTATTTAAAGTATGTTAGCTCTCTACTAATATATGTAGCAGGGATTGGAAATTTAGATAAATAAGTAACATAAAGGCAGCAAAGTTTTTCTGGCAAAAAGGAAAGATCTGCCATCTCTATCTTTGATTCATAAGCTAATAATGATACTGAATACTGATGAAACCCAGGAAACCATCTTTGGAATTAGTAACTAAACTATATTGAGATGCTCTACCTTCAGCGGGAGAGGGACACAAGAACTTATTAGTTTCAAATATCACTTATGTGATATTTGAGATCTGCAAATTTCCAGCCACAAGTTTACATCTGTTTTACTTGCAAGAGCTACTTAAGGGTGAATTGTTTTTGTGGATTCCTTTTACAGACTCTTCTCACAGTTTGGGACATGTTTGCCCTCTCAGGTTGCCAGCTCCCTGGCTAATCTGGTACAAATTTGAAGATTACTATGATAGCAATGTTTCTCTTTACATAAATAATTTTTAACTAGAATTGTGTGTCCCTTAGGTAAATATTTGTATGTCCATAGGCATTCCTTGTAAATCATAAAAGAAGAGTATGATTGTTTTTGCAATCCCCACTCTGTGTCCTTAAAAGTAGCTGGTAATTGTGACAAAAGTTAGGACACATTCATGCATAGTATATATGATTCATGTATGATAGAATCTATTTTAAGACATCAGCTAGATTTTTGTTCATCCTAGATTAGCTTCAAGGCAAACAATCTTACTAAATAAATTATTAATTCAAAAAGCAGCTAAGCAAGACCACCAACCGCATATATAGCTTTTAATATTCTAACTAAAAATGAAATTCAGATTTTAAATTTATATGTAACAACAAATCTCCACCCCAAATCAAGGTTTGTTTGTTTAAAAAATAATAACAAATGATCACTATTGACACTTGAAATCATTTATTCAAGGCATTTTATATAATATTGCAATCATAGTATAGGCATATAATAAAAGAATATGAGAATGCAAAGAAGAATATAAAGCCAGTGTCTGGGCATTTAAAATAAAAGCTCTTCAAAAAGGTACAAAAGTTTTACAGATAGAATTCCTGAAAAATTTGGGAGAAATTAAAATTTTATTAACAATATTATAATACCAAATGACACTCACTTAGTTCCCAGCAAACAGTTTTATATTAATTGTTTATAACCCGTGAACTAAGACTTAAAGCATTTTACATTCAAGTTGAAATAAGTCAGCACCATTTTAGCTTGAAGGATAAATGAAATGTTGTTTTCAAAAATGACCCAGTACTTTGGGTGGCTGGGAATGAAATCTAAGTTGCGGGTTGCATGTATTTGATTGTGAATATGAATTTTAAAAATAAAAGATATAGAAAAGGGTACTTTTATCAATATTCTTGTTAGTATCAAAAAAAGTTATTTTTAAAAGGAAACATATCCTGACCAGGAAATAAACATTTTCATGTTGTCTCTTAAACATTAATTCTCAAGTTCCAGGAAAATTTTAGTGAACTGCTAATATCAAATATTGGGAATGTTTATAAATGTGATTGTCCTATGAGATTCCAAAGAGCAAAATAAATGTTATTACAAATAATGCCTAGTGAATAATTAGATAGAAATTGTAAATAAAATTATAGTATAAAAATATAAAGATTTTCTGGAAATAGGCAAGTTGAATATTCATATATGTTATGGCACTGTTGGGAGACTGACTCTTCACCTCAAAGGCCAAGACATCTTTAAGACAGATGTGGTCTGAATAATTATGAGAGCACTTAATAATATACGTCAGATAGTAGACTCACTAAATTATTTTCCATTTTCACAGGCTTTATTTCTGTAAAATCTAGTCTCTTCTCAGTACTCAACATTCTTTATATCATTTCTACTTCCTTTTTGTAAAAAATTTAGAGTTTAATAATAGATTGATAATTGTTACCAGCTAGTCATTATCTGTGAGTATTGATGGTTATTCAGAGACAAGACCCTGTGAGGTTAAAAAATATTGTGTGTTAAATTAAAACTTATCATTTATATGTAAATGTTGAGGGATGATGGAAAGGGGAGAAATGTTCACATAAGGAATAAGCAAGAATCTTTAGCTTCTTAATTGAAATACATTTTTTTTTTTGCAGAATCAACCAAAGAGTACATGCTATATTTAAAAGGTGGACATTTCAGGAATTCAAAACATATTTTAATTATTAGAAATATATACATTCATGTACTCATTAACTGTTAACTTATTTTTTAAAACATGGTCATGAAAAATAATAGTGCCTAAAATTGAAATGTTATAAACATGTACTGTAGGTTGTTAAAAAATGAAATAAAGCGAACCTAATGGATAATGACATTTTTCATATTTATTGAGGTTAGGGACAGTATTATTTTATGTATCAATGTCTTACATGTGAGTATCTAGCTTATTAGGTCCTCAAAGGGCAATGGATGGAGAGACAGATAAAGGGTCTCACTGAAATAATTGTAAATGTGATTTCTCTTATACATCCAAAGGTCATGATATTGGATAATTTATAATACAGGGGTAATAATCTTAATGAAACAATAGATGTTAAATCTATAGATGCCAGTCTGGCTCAGTATTAATACTGACAGTAGTTTTTGTTATTTAATAAAGCAAGTATATTAAAATATCTCTATTAGAAAAGATTACAATTGGAAAGGATCATTCTACCATCTTAAGACTAAAAAGCAATTTAAGGAAAAAAGAGGTACATCACAGAACCTATCTCATAGCTCAAATACTACCTCAATGAAAATTCTGTCTGTATTTGCTTTGTGTGCTCTGACAAACAAGGACAATGCATACCACTGTATCTGTCCCTTGATGACTGTCCACCTCTCATCCCTTTTACCATGCTGTGTACCCAGTGAGCGCAGAATGATTATTCGTAATTGGTGTTGACTTTACAACTCTATGACATATATGACAGGATGCCAACTCACTTTTAAAACTCTACCTAACATAGTCTAGTACTGGAAACATCTTACTTGAGATTTTAACACTGCTTAATATAGGAAAAACTTCTCCTAAAGCACCATTAACTTAAAAGTCTAACTTGATTTCTTCCTGCACTTTTTGAATTTAAGAAAAAGACAGATTTTCCAAATTCTGTTGTTGCACACAGTTTCACAGTTTAAAATAAAAATCACAGCTGTCTCATTATGGAGTATTCCTTGGTTTTGCAGAAAGTACTTTCTTTTCCCTTATCCACACCTCAAATATATAGTGCTATGTGCCTTGTTAATCTGGACTATATTTAAGACACACAAAAACATGTATGACCAATTCTGAATAACCTAGCATGATTTTCCCATAGTGCACACATACTATATCGTCTGTTCTGGATAATTTAAAGATATTTAGCATTACTCTTTTTAATAGCTGAAAATTTAAGACATGCAGAAAAGTTGAAAATCCTAACATGTTTTTCATCATTCTTTTTTTTTTTTTTATATTTGAGAGACAGTGTGGTTTTTGAGACTTTTTGTATGATTTTTATATCAGCAAGGAAATTTTAATTTGGCTTACACTTCAATATGCTTAAATGTATATCATGTCTGGATGTATCCTAGCTATCATCAGAATGACTTCCGAGTTACACAGATGTCCTATGTAGATCAGTCCTCAGAATGGTAATTTTAAGAATGCCACTTAAAATGTCTCTGCCTATAGAAAAACTAAGAGTGGAGAGGAGCATCAACAAATAACAGACAGGAATCGGGCAGCTCAATTACCTAATTCATTCCAAAACAAAAGTTGACTCAAATCAGAATGAAATTGTGCCCTTGACAGAAAGAAAGTTACCTACTAATTTAAAAACTGTAAACATAATTTTTATATAGGGATGTAACTATCTGGATACATATATTGCCATTCCTCTGCTATATAATATTTCTTGACACCAATAGTAATGTGTTTGTTCCTTCCACAGCACCAAATGTGTCCATATCTGTTTAAATAGTAGGATCATCATTTCTAAATTAATCTACACTAAAACACCTACAAGCGTATTACCATTATGTTTCACTCAAGTTCCAGCACTTTAGAGGATAATCAGTTCAAAGCAATTTTGGCTCATTCTTCAAAATATTATTTTCCCTTTTGTATCAGAATTTCAAAAGGAACATAAGACATTTGTATTTCTTTGAAAGAGCCAATTGTGCAACTATGGAATTGAAACATTGTGTTAACTCACAAGTACTGTGAAGAAGTATTTTAAATCTTTCTAAATAATTCCAACTTAAATGTTCAAATCCAGTTATTTGTTTTGTTGTAAAACAGTCCAAACAAAAATTCCTTTTTTTGTTTTCTGTTCTCTTTTTTTTCAAAATATGTAGACCCTACTGAAGCTAATCTATTTTTTCCCACTTCAGAACACCAGGCACTGATTTATCCATTGGGAGTTGAGCTTGCTTTCTAATACCTAGATTAAGAAAACAAAATAGGAGAAGTTATGAACTGGTTACAATATCATGAATGAATACAATAGATACATTTAAAGTCAACTTTAAAAATATCTATGTAGCCATTTCCCTCCACCTGAGCAATAATTATTTTGTGAAATTACCATTAATACATTATTTTAACAATTATTTGATGAAAGCATTTATATCAAGAGCAGAGAATGTATGCTGATGCCTACAGTCTGGACATCTAACATAAAAGATATAACCCCTGAAACAATCAAAAGTGAAGCAGAACTCATGAGACCCACACCCTAACCAGGCAAGTTTGTTCCATGGAACGAGAGTGGCACTCCACCAAGAAGCAGTCATGGCCTCTCACCATCTTGCATTCATCCTTATCCACATGGCTTTGAATGTTGAATGATGCATTAACAGGCAGAGACTGGCTAAGTACAGTCTATCCTATTCTTTTATTCAAATGGTTATCATACATCATCATTTAAAGAGGTAAAAATGCACTTAAATCCAAACCATAAACTATCAATTTCCAAACAGTAAGTCTTGTAAGAAGAGAACTTAATCATTAGTATATTAGAACCAAAAGTTGTCTGGAGTCACCAGGTCCTTACATTTTGTTTTTAATGAGAAAATGAGGTGGGGGGTGGCACCTTCGTGGCACATACTCACTTACTGGCTGCTTTTTACATCAAACAGAATGCCCTCAAGTATGTGCTTGGCATAAATAACAACCAGTGAACTGACAGTGATATGTAATTAAATTTTAAAAAATAGTACAATAATGCCAGCATGGGAATGACACACACAAAGCCACCAGGCTGACCACATGGCTTTAGGCAAATTCTACCTTTTGCTCAAAAAGTTCAAAAATTCCCCCATGGCCTCCAGAAAATAAAGTTCAAACTTCTTGCTCTCAGTGTTCCCTTTGATCTCGTCCCAAGTGATGTTTTTATCCTTTTTACCCAACTCTTAACTCCATGACACTTATGCTCAGCCAAACTAGAAGACTTGCTTTTTGTAAATATGCCCTTCATCGTCCTCCCGCCATGTAGCTGCCCGTAACTGGGCCTCCTCCCAAATGCTCTTCCTTATCTCCCCTGAGTGTGGTCTTCAGGCTTCAAGGCCCAATTAGAATACAGACCTAAAGCCACTACTGAATCTCAGCCCAAAGAAATCTCCCCTTCCTCTGAACTCTGATCTCTAGCAAAGGAGGCCTGAGATGAAAGTAAAAATATAGAAGAGGCAACATCATTCTCCTGAAGGGGACAGATTTTTCTCAACTCAAAAAGGCTACATTTTCCTGATTTCCCACTCATACAGGAAGTATGAGCTTATATTTTACTATGAGTCACTAACCATGGGTTATTTCAATTCTTCATATTTTCCTCTGATCAATATTACTTATTAAAATTCTACCTCAACTACCTCCTCTTGCATTTTAGTTGTAGTCAGAGATCATTGGTGAATTAAAAATAACTAAGCAGGTGGCCACAGGAGGAATACCTCTTATAGAGTCACAATATTGCTGGAGCAATATAACAGTTTCCATTTGTTTCAGATATTTGAAAATACTAAATGGATTCTACTGACTTAAAGCAAAGACACATCCTATGCAGTAAGAGTCTCCTCTTGGGACCTGCACTTACTGGAAGGCCCATAATCATAACGAGTCACCAAACTTCTTGTAGCAGAAGTCCTTCCAGTCTCAGTGCATATTAATTTACCTTCATGGGACTTTTTGTATTGTCTATTACATTTTTGGCGGGGGGTGGAGGTGTGTGTGTACTGGGGATTGAAAGCACAGGGAGGCACTCAACCACTAAGCCACATCCCCATTCCTTTTTTTTTTTGTATTTAGAGACAGGGTCTCATTGAGTTGCTTAGTGCCTTGCTATTGCTGAGGCTGGCTTTGAACTCCTGATCCTCCTGCCTCAGCCTTCCAAGCTGCTGGGATTACAAGAAAAATACCTGGCTCTATTACATTTTTGTGTGTATTTCTCTCACTCACTCTATTTAATTCTAAAGTCCTTGAGAGATAGGGTTATTTGTTTGATTTGTTTGTTAATTACGTATTGAGTGGGAGGCTGCAAGGTGACAGGCCTGTCCCAGGCAACAGGTAGGTATACAGTGCAAGACAGGCAGTTAGAACCTGGTCTTCATGGACTGGGGCAGGAGACAAACATTAACAAAGAGATTCATAAGTAATATACTGGAATCTCTGTAATATGTCTACAGGGAAACAGTATAGGGGCTTGGAGTTATATTTATTTATCTCTGCATTACTCTCTAATATCTACTTTGGGACCTTAACAAACACACACAGTACAATAGTGAAAGAACAAGTAAATAAGTAAATGGAGAATGAGTAAATAACTTAAGGAATGATAAAAATTAAAAGGAATTAACTAATCCACCAATTTCACCTTAAATCATTTGGGGTTAAATTACACTGATACTATGGGAATTTTGGTTATTCTATAACAAACTGCACACACAATAGGCCATAGAACCAGCATGTTCAGAAGAATATATTTGATTTTTTTTCAGTACCACTCCTTTGCTGTCATGGGCCTCATCTATCTCTAATGATGTGGTGATACTTGTAAAGCTCATGCTTACTCCTTTATGTGAATAAAGTGGCTCCTCCAGGGTGTATGCAACCCCAAATAATATTGCATTGCTCTGTGGACAGACCAAGGGCTAGTTTAGGCTCCACTTTCCTCCTGGCCAGGAGCCCAGGTGTAGGGCAAAATTGGCACAACCAGACTTCCATGGGCCTGGAAAAGCCACCAAATTACAGGTTCACGTGCAGCAAACCCCTGTCCCAACTTCCATATGAAATCATGCTATACATTTCTGCATGACTCAAAGATACCAGTACCACTCCATCAAAGCAAAGCAGATGCATGTTCAGTACCACCCTATGGGTCTTCCAATTATTTGAAGTATAAGGTAAGGGTGCATATACAGTTATGATCTATTACCCAGCAACAGTGGAACAGGCAGTATAATAGCTTGGGACAGGACAGACTGGCAAGCAGGCATCAAAATACCTCCTAGTTCACATTTGTAGATAGGATTCCTTCTATGCCTTCATTCAAAAAAGGGTTTCAGGACCAAGGGTTTCCTCTCCTTTTGTGAATATCCCTTTAATACCTGTGGTTCTAAAAATAAACCTATGAAATCTGGGTTTCCACAGACCAGGGATCTGGTCTCTTCATCTGTTCATCTGGTCTCTTCATCACTGTCTTGTACCCAAAGACAGTGATTTTCAAAATGTACTTTGAAGAACTCTAGGACTTTCTTCAAAGCTCCTTCACCGAGTATGAAGGGGCAGGAAACTCAATTGAGCTCCTATGATCTCACCTGCACTGCATTTTGAATACTTTAACATACTGAACCACACAAGCTTTCTGGGTAAACACTTTGTTCTATGTGTATGTCTTATTTTGAAAACTGAGCTTTAGGATGACTAAAACCATAGTATGTCCTCACTTTTCTGTACACACACACACACACAAAAAAAAAAAAAAATCAGTTCTAATTATGTGATAGCATTGATTCTATGTAACAATTTTGATCTTTGGTTTCTTTACAGTGAAAGCTATAGTAGTTGAAACACATGTTGTTGTATAATACCTGGCCAAAAAAAACACAAATAAATAAATAAAACTTTTTTGTAAAGAAAATTACTTAATTAGGCAAACAGGACTTACGGTGAAATCGTACAGCCTGAGGCATAAGCATGATGTCCTGTGTAGCGAATGTCACAGCGCACAACATTGTTGGTATAGTCTGATTCAGGCACCAGGTAGCTGGGGTTGACACTGACCTAGGCAACACAAACAGCATCTGTGCTAAAGATTTCATGATCATTATGTACTCATTTTCCCTTCTATTTCTGTAGAGCTACTATGTGGGAATCATTAGCAAGTGATTTAGCTAACACAAGCTGGAAAGGGAGTTTAAGATAAGCAAGTGGTTAAACTCTGCAGACATTATAGAAGAAAACAGTATAACTTCCCATGATGTTCTTTAAAATAAGAATATTTTCATATGTCTACGTTGCTTAGAAATTGTCTAACTATCTCCAAAATCATGATTTATCATCATCTGAGTCTACAGAATGGTGCCTATTAATTTCATTTAAAAATTACATATTTGCCAAGGCCTCTACCTTTAGAATGTAGTTTCCAGGTTGTACATCTGTAATGTCAATCCACTGGCAGTCAATGTCTGCAGCATAGGTATCATAGCAGCCAGGACTCAACCCCTAAAACAAACAAAACAGAACACCTAAAATGATGGTGAATGGTCAGATTGTGCTAAAGTATACGCTGTTATTTGTAAATTAAATTTTCAGTTAGTATTTATAAAGTGTTTGATATAAAACTATAGTATATATTACCCGGCTTCATAGCACCTCTGGTTAAAAAAGACACAGTACTAAAATAAATAGAAATATACCTGCCTTCTTAAAAGTGTCACAACTTACCAGTGATAAATACAATCTTAAGTGACAAAATAGTCCTCCACCAAAATTCTGGAATATTACCAGAGCAGGAATAAAGGTCACTTGGCAATTAACTCAAATGTCTTATTAGTGAAACCCTCTCCCATTTTCCCCTCTTAGAAATGACCTTCTTATATTCAGAGTACCCTTGATATTTTTGTCATGGATAGTTTTTGCAATGTTATCCATTTCTTCTCTGGGTTACGATCATACTATGTAAGAATATATCTAATTTAGAGGTTGTAAGTTCCCTAAGTGTAGAATCTATGTTGCATCTTTGATTAGCTAACATTTATTATTATTATGTGCCAGAAACTATTTTAAACATGCTGCATATGTAAATTAAATTCTCATAACTATATGAAGAAGGTGCTAGTATTTTCTCTAAATTATAACTCGTAAATGATTGAGCTTGTTTAAGTAAACAGGATCCAGAGTGCCTGTCATTAACTACCATACTATACCCTATTTCACATAATCACTAAAATATTTTGTTGAATGAATGGACATACACCTAAACTAGCAAATGCCACACATTCCACTTGCTGAGATATTCAGGTTAAAAATAAATAAGTGTCTTGGATGGCCCAGGATAAAAAGAAACAAAAATTGGAATCTGGGGAATATATTATTTCTATTAGCTCTTCACAAGAAATTTTAATTCTTGTATTTTTATTTTAAGATGCTACAATCATATTAACTCAATGCTGCCATTTGATTTCAGCACGCAAAATTGCTTTGATGCTTAAAATAACTTTGGCAATCAAACAGATAGCAAAATCACCTTAGTGTGCTTCACTGACTGGTTTGGCTGTAGCTAGATTTGGGAAGAGTGTGGTGAGAACTGTGCTGTCATATAGCACGTGATAGCACAGACAAGTCAAACTCAAAAGTATCTGAACTGCAGCAGGGAAAACCACATTCCACAGTTATTGTCCGGAATCCTACCTTGGTCCATATTTCATCTATGTTGAGTAGTAAATGTCATCTATGTGGAGTAGTAAATATATAATGAAGAATTATTTTTTTTGGTGTGATACTGCACATAGTTCTGATTCTGGTACATCATACGTGTGTTAGCTGCTGCTATTGTTGCTATTACTACACTACTACATTCATGACATTATAAAGGATTCATTGGATTAGATAGCTATTGAAGACAAATTTTAATAATACTCTTTTATTTATTTTTATTTATTTATTTTTTAGTTTTAGATGGGCCCAATATCTTTATTATTTAAATTTTTTTCTATGAGAATTGAACCCAATTCCTCACACATGTGAAGCAAGTGCTCTACCACTGAGCTACAACCCCAGCCCTTAATATTAGTCATTTAAATGAACAAAACTGCTTTGAAAACAATGGAATTAGCCAGGTGTGTGGTAGACATGGAATCTCTGTAGACCTGTAATCTCTGCTACTTAGGAAGCTGAGGTGGGAGGATCTCTTGAGCTCAGGAGTTCCAGACTAGCCTGAGCAACATAGTGAGATCACATCTCAAAAATAATACAACCAGAGATATGAAAAATTGTGCTGTATACATGTAACAAAATTTGTAATGCATTCTGCTGTCATTTATTTTTTTAAAAAATCAATAAAAAATAATAAATGAATAAACAAATATAAATGCTGGAATTGGCACTCTAGGATTAGCTAGCAGAATTTAAGCATGAGCTCTGGTTTTTTGAATTGGCAAACATAAAACTGGAAATGAGACCATTAAGCATATAGGCATTTCATATATTCAAAGTCAAAATTTTAAAACAGATTAAATATGAATCCTAGCCCTGGATATCTAAATTAGATATTTGGTTTTTGCAAAACACAACTTTTTACTACATTAGGGTAAAGAGATTAAGTGACTATTTTTAGTTTTGTATATATTTACTATATAAATTGTGGTCTAAGAACAGGAATTAGTAAGAGTGTAAATATATAGAAGCTATACATAGTTTTACACTTGAATACATTTCAGAAGGTTTATAATAAAACTAATCTAAGCCAACATTTGAGGTTTGTGAGAATGTTTTTTCCTTTAAATGAAGTTCAAGGGCAAGAGACACTGATCTACTGAAAAAAAAACAAATACATAAATCATTCATAATGCCAGAGCTGGTGCACAATTGTTGAATAATACATATACAGAGGATGACTGACAAGAAAGCTACCAAATAAAATGAAGTGGGTCACTCCAAGGAATGGAAGCACTAGGAATGCTATAAATACCTACAATACCAGATTCAAATACTTCATCTCAGAGTGAGCTGTCCAAACTGTTTATTTTTCTAAAAGGGAGAATAAACTCCAGGTCCACTGCACACCAGATGCTATGGGACTTGATAAATGAATGTAAATGAAATCTATATAAACACATGTAGAGTATGTGGGTAGGTTACATCTCCTTTTGCTTGAAGAATAAGTACTATCCCCCAACCCACACACATATGTCTAATTTAACCTTCTTCCCTTCCAATTGCTATGATGGTCTAAACTCAGAGAAAGAAGTAATGGTAACATTTAGGTCACCAGAAAGCTTCCTGCCGCAGACCTGAAATTTGCTTCCCAAGTTGCCAGCTGCTGATCCTTTTGTGTCCTGGATTATATGCATTTAATGCTCCTTGCCAAGATTTGGGCTGGAGTAAAATTATAATGTCCTTTTACAAATTAGGGTTTCATATGGAAATACTGGCATGGCTTTTAACTGACACACATTTTCCTATTATAAGACATACAAACTGCTTAGTTCAGCACTATTTTTAAAAATTCATCCAAAGAACATCTGACATCAATTATACTGTAGGATTAAATATATGTGTGTGGAGAAAAAAACGTGTCCTTCTGTTCTTACTTGCATTATTAAAAGAAAGAGTGTTTAAAGTGCTTTCTAAGAAACTTATTTCCTCTCCTTTTGCTAGCCTCAATCACTATTCTATTTTAAGCATAAAAGTTGGGGAAAAAAAAGAATGGCTTTTCAGGGAGCAGAGGTATATTTTTTTAAAGTTGTTTATAATCAATTAAAGACAACAGAATGGGTGCAGATGCTATGAACCATTCAGACATTTGCAGAAAGTAAAATTTGGCTTCTCATTGTGGAACATATTATCGTGGATACATATTGACCTCCTGTGACAATGAGAAGGGGTCAGGTGCAAAGTTGGAAACACTTTAAAAGTAACATGCATCAAGCCATCACTTACCTTTTCTCATATTATTTTTCATCTTGACAAAATGAACTCAGAATGAAGTCATTTATAAAAGGAGGTGGAAAGAAAGAAAACAGTATGCTACTTGTTTTGTCTCTAAAACCTGTGGGTTCTGATTTCAGGGTGCCAGCTTACCTGTGTGTGTGCTGTACATGCAAAGCGTCTGTGGTAGCCATAGTCACAGGATGTGTCCTCAAGACAGAAACTTGCTTTGTGACCTTCAGCCACTCTCCTCTGAGTGTTGGCATCAAGCAGATCATAGTGACTGAATTCGTCCATGCTGTGGTAATGTCTAGTGTCCCACAAAACAAAGAGACAGTGGTCAGTTGCATACGGAGAAAGCCAAGAGGACAGTAATTTGTTGGCTCACAAATTTGGATTCACATCGTAAATGGGGTCAAGTTTATCTTCTTTAAGAGAGATTCATGCTAGATTCCTCCACTTTCCTCGGACAGACATCTATCAAAATTATTAGCTTTTAACATTGCTACTAGGATAACAGACTTAGTTTGGGTAATTTTTTGCTTTTTATTTACACCCTGTTTTATCTTTGAATATTAAATATAAAGAGACAATTATATGTCCTTAAATAAAAATAGCCATTTTTTGCCATTTTTTTTTCTCTGATATATTTCTGTTGGCTGTCAATGCCGATGCCTCATTCCAAAAAAGAAGCAGCACATGACTCTAGAAGGTTTTTGGAGATTTTTAAAAATAGAATTCTCACATATTTAAAAATCATTATTAAAATGCAATAGGGAAATAATGGCATGTTTTACCCACCACTATTATTTAAACTGCATAAGCTTTTACTTAGGAATGAAATATTTCTATTTTATCTGAAAAATTAGAAAGCTCCTATCTATTTTTCTCATTTTGTTAGCTAGAAGATGTTGAGCTATTCATATTTTCACATAAGGAAAAGACACTAAGAAGTGGCTCGAATTTCAGAAAGTTTAAGGCCAAACATCAGGATTTCCTGGCAGTTAAGAACACCTGGGTAAGTCACCAAGGCAGATGATGGCATTACCTTATGTGAAAATCCTTATATTTAGTATGGATCAGGGGTATTCACTCTGGGATTGATATAGCTCTTTTGAAAGATGGAAAAAGTCACTTTCAGCTTATGGAGTATGTAATTTACATCTTCCTTTGAGAATGGTCTCTGATCCTTTTGATAACTATGTGTGGTTTTAATAAATGTTATTTAATGCTAACTGTAGATGATCTGGGCTGTAATCAACATTTTTAGAAATCCTAACTATATTGGAGTAAATGTTATTGAAGTCAATTGCTATGCCTTCTCAAGTCTTGATAAAGCTGTGCTTGAAGTTTTAGTTCAAAAGATAATGGTATCACTGGTTGAAGGATCTTAAAGACAGACTTATTTGATTGTGTCAAATTTTAGAAACAATTCTAAATACAAATCTTAACAAATTTCTCTTTTTGGATAAGACTTAAGACTTGTATTTGTCACATCAATAATCATCTGAAAAATGAAAGAGCAACTTAGAAGTCAGGAAGCCCATGTACTTACTGGTGACAACTGTGCCATTCCCAGGAATATCTTGGACGACTTGGTAAGAAATCAGATGTTCCTTGGTTTTTTACTCTTTGGGGAAATCTTAGCAGCACCCTGTGATCATAATCTCTTACATCTGCTCTGTAGGCTGAACTGTGATTTTGAAAAAAGAAACATTATTATATTCACAGACTTTTAACTTAAGACAAAACTTCTCCATCATATATTATATCCTTTCACCATCAGTTCCAAGAGGTTAGGGTGTTCAGTTTATTTTGTTTATTGCTGAATGCCAAGCTCCCAACAGTTCTGGGGTACTCAGAACTCAATGAATACTTCATGACTGAGTGAATGAAAGACAACAGTGAAAATTCAGAATTTAAAAGTGACAACACAATAAAACTTGCACTAAAAATCTATGTGTGAGAAACCAACTTTGTATCATAAATCAATTCAAGTTTAAACATAAGAACAACTGAGGTGAAAATTATCCCAAATTAAAAATGATCTATAATTATTAGGAACTTTGAATTTAACAAAATATTTTCTTTTAAACAGATAACTAAGAAATAAAGTGAGAAAGTGACTCTAAAAGAACACACATAACTTAGTTAAATAATTTTGCAACTTCACATCTTCAAAACAAGGAAACTACTGTAATATCATGAGGAAGACAATGGTGTGAGTGACACAAGACTTAGGAATGAAAATGAGGTTGAATTTCTTCTATTCCCTACCCTGACAATTGCAAAGGTACAATGTGGAAGAAATGTACAAGTGATCAGCACTGTGCTCCGACTAACATATTTCATGTGAGTGTATGTTCTAATACTATCCCTGACCTTATTTTACATGTTAACATATTTATGGGACCCATCAAAACATCTTTTGCTCCCTCTGCTGGTTCCTAAGTGCAAACTCAGAGAACCAATATCCTAATAGCTATTTTATTTTAGGACTAAAGGCAAAACAAAGCTGCTCATGGTCTTATTCTGGCTGAAGTAATATCAAAACAACTCAGTTAGACCTGAAACAAAAAGGGAAAACTTTGGGTTTACCAATGAGGGTGCCTCAATGACAATTTTACCTCCAATCTTCTAAGGGAATAGTAACAAGCCCTTCTTGTTACAATATGTTTTTCTACATTTCTGTACAGTTGGTTTATAAAAAGTTATTAGTTCTAAAGTTTAAGAGTCTTAGAAAAAAAATATGAGACTATCAGTCGCCAGGATAAGGATTAGGTCCACCATAATTTGAGGCAAATCTATAGAAACTTTAAAACTTTTAATTCTTCATGCAGGTCAACATGCCCAGAAGGTCAGGTATCACTTTATCTATTCCTAGCCCTTGTCCCATTTCCTAGGTCTGGTCTGTCTGAATAGAAGTAATAGAGAAACAGGCACCAAGGTATGAGAGCCGGGCCACCGAGATCCCAGCTGGTACCTGGCCAGACAGTTTTCTTCCGCAGCGCATCTCAGGTTGTACATAGCCATCTTCTGCACGTATGTGGATGCTTGGATGTAGTAAGGGTCGGGCACCAGGTCCGGGAGACCTAAATGACAGCACGCAACAAGCGCAGCAGTGATACAAACGAGCGCCTCGTTACCTCGGGTCTGGGTCCCTTCAGATCCCTTATTTGTCATCCTTAGCCCACCAGAACTGCAGAGTAGGGCTGGGGGAAGCCAGAGAATTTGCTACACCCCCCAACCCCCGCCCCTGGTTGCGAAGCAAAGCGAAAAATAAGCTGAAGGAGCCAGGCGTGCGGTTTGCACCAGATTCCAGAGCTGGCTCTGCAGGCTTGGGGGGAGGGGTCGAATCAGCAGGGACCGGGGCCCGCCGCGCCCAGACAGCCACGTAGAGGAGCCACATAGTTGGGGACCTGGTGCACTCTGGCTGCCCTGGGGATTGGGGGTGCTTACCGTACTGAAAATAGCCGGTGCCGTATCCTGGTCGATACCTGCTCCCAGGCCGGGGCCTCTCATACGTATCGTAGTAGTTGTAGTAAGGGTTGTCGTCAGAATACTTGTAGGGGTTGTACGGGTCGTCGCCCACCATGCGGTCCACGTGGCTGGGCGGCCGCAGGTTACTGAGCTCCGGGAGCTGTTCTGGCTCCGTCCGGTTACCTGCGCGCGAGGCGCCAGCGTCGCGGGTCCCAGAAGATGAGTAGCCGGCTTGAAACCAGTGGCGGGCGTCGGGCCTGGGGCGACCTGTGGCGACCCCTGACGAGCTGGCGGTTCGCGCCCGTGCTGCGGCCGTGCGATTGTCCCGGAGCAGCAGGATCGGCGTGCGCGGCTGCGGTGCGGCGGCACCGTCTGTTCCAGCGGCGGCGGCGCTGGGGCCCCGGCGGCGCTGCGGCTGGTACTGTGAGCCCAGACTCAGCAAGCTGAACACCTGCCCGTTGTTCTCCCATTGGATCCTCTGGCGCCAGGCTCCCGGAGCCGCCGGTGGCTCGCGCGGTGGTTGCTGCTGACCAGGGGCCTGCGGGGCGCAGCGCAGGAGGGGGCAGAGCTGCAGCGGCCCCAGGAGGAGCATGGTCCAGGCGAAGCGCATCTTCACCGGATTGTCTCCTCTACAGGAGGTCTTGGCTCTCAGAAAAAGTTAAAACGGGACTCAAATCACGCGAAGGAGGCAGAAATCTTTAAACAGGGAGGCGAGCAGAGTGCCGTTATCTCAGTACCCACAAAGCAGTGCCAACGGTGGGCTGCAGACCCTTTAGACAGGCAGGGCAGCTCCTCGGACGTGGCACCCGTCTTTCCCCTTTCCCAGTCCTTCTGGAAAGCGACGGGGAGCGGCGCGGCGGTCCCGGCGAGCGGGCAGTGTCTGGAGTTGAAGGAAGGAGGAGAGATTTTAAACTTTCTGGCACATTTGCAAAGTTACACAAGCCGTTCTGGCCCTGCTGCCCCTCCGCTATTTGTTCGCGTAATGCGATTGGAAACGTGCAAGGCGGACAGCTCTTCGTCTCTGCCCCTCCCTCTTCTCCCTGTCCTGTCCTCCTCCCCCCAGACACGTTGCACTGGGAGCGTTAAGGGGAAAGAACAAAACGGAACACACATCCTGAGACACGCTTGGCTTAATCTGGGGCGAACATGCAGGAATTTCAAAAGACTCAGACAGACGGAGGCAGCCAGGCCATGGGACGAAGCCAAAATATGCATGGAGAAAAATGCTATTAGGTCACCAGCCCTGGAGAGGCGGGAAGTCAGGAGGTGGGGAGGTGCTGGGGGCGAAAGTGTGTGTTGGGGAGGGGGGGCGGTTGTGACTAATGCACATCCATAAAGGAGTTAACCAGACAAATTTCCCAATGTACACTCAACTCGATTTATGGGCAGAGCCCTCAGCAAATAAACCCCAGGATATCAAATTTTGTTTTTCTGAGGGTAGGTAATATGAGAAATGGGTTACAAATCTGTTTCCTACAGTGAATATTTTAATAACAAAAAGTCAAATTTTACAGAGAACAAAGCTTGCTAATGCTGAACCGCTGAATAAACCTCTTTTTGAAAATGCCGGCCTGGTACTTGAGTGAAATGAAAAATCATCCTTCATTTCCACCACAGACCAGGGAACTAGAGCAAGTCTGCCTAAGAGAGAACACAGAAGGCATTCTCAAATAAACATTTTTATCTGACTTTTTTCTTTGTCTTTCCTACATCTAATTAGACTTTTGATTTAAGAAATTTAAATCACCACTGTTAAATATTGAAGGTCAATAACGTATACCATGGTGTTTGATTTATTTTCCAACCCAAACAAATGGTTTGTGAAAGAAACAACCCTGGAGTTCAGAGTTGGTAAAAAGAAGAGAGTGGGAGTGGCCACAAGGAGAATGGGAAGGCAGATTAAACTATGCTGACTGGAAAGAGATGCTTCATAGACTAGTTATTCACATACCATTCAATGTTGGGCAGTGCTGGAGTCATTTCAAAGAAAAAATGCTACTAAGTAGTTTGATTTAATACGACCGGATTTTTATGACATTTTTATTGATCTCATCTCTGGGCTGTCTGCATAGATTTGGATATTCACCTGTTTCTGTTGGTCTCTGTCTTTCCATAACAAATCACCATATTTTGGTAGTATGGTATACATCTGCTGATTTGACCTCTTCACATCCATTTTCCTTTTCTTTCTGTTAAAAACAACTGTATGTTCTTTGGGTAACTTCCCCTCCCCAGTCGCATAGTGGGACTGTCTGAGCATTCATGATATTTTCCCCTTCAAGCAGGAGTCCAGAAATCCTAGTTTTGCTAATCAAACCATCTTCCTAGAATTTAAATCTCAAGTAGAAAGACACATGGTCAAAATTATTGCTCCTGTCATTATGAAAGAAAATATATGTTAGGACTTGAATGTAAATCCCCCCTGAGCAGTACATTCCAAGACCTGATTCTTTAGCTTTTCTTTCATTTTTTCCAGTGCATTACTTTGTGGCTTAACATGGTCAGAGTCAATTTCTGTTGTTTGCCACCTACGAACTCTGACTGACACTGAGGGGGTTGTGGTTCTTTCAATTAATCAAACCACATGATTCTGAGTCCAGGATGATGGTTTGGCTCTTTTTGAGTCAAATTAGATTTGCTTTGCTCATGACCACACAGCCTCCTTGGTCACAAAGGGATATTAGACGGAAGCTTGCCAATGGATTGGCAAATCTATTGCTTGTATGATGAAGATAAAAATTCAAATACAAATCCTCTCATGTCAACAGTGAATTCTTTCTAAATAATAGTCAGTGGCATCCCTAGCTGTCATTTTAGAGACTTGCGGCAGTGCTTAAAATTACTTTCTCCAAACCCACTAAGGAGGATGGCATAAAAAAAAAGAAGAAACAGGTGTATACAATTTAGACAGACAGATGAAATTATAGGAGAAGCAGGAAGGGATAGAGTGTAATTATCTCTCAGCTGAAAAGGCTCAGCTTATTCTCCAGAAAAAAAAGCCTGAAGCTGCTATTACTTGACCACAGACTCCTAGGGGAAGACTTCTGCTATGTAAATCATACCGTTAGAGTGGCAGACAAAAGCAGTTCCTGGACAGGCACAGTGGCATATACCTGTAATCCCAGTGGCTTGAGAGGCTGAGGCAGGAGGATCACAAGTTCAAAGGTAGCCTTAGCAACTTAGTGATAGCTGTCTCAAAATAAAAAAGAAAAAGGGCTGGGGATGTGGCTTAGTGGTTAAGCACCCCTGGGTTCAATCCTTGGTATAAAAAAAGTTTCCTATTTTGTATGGCTGATTCTCTATTTCTTAGTTATCTGTAATATTCAAAGATTAACTTAAATCTTTTCAAATGAACTTTTACTAGTTTAAGAATATCTGATTTTTATGAATATTCCAGTTATTTGCACTATTTTCAACTCAGTCATTTCAATGTTTGATTGTGATTTTTAATATTTAATTAAATAATTCCTTTAGTTGGACTTTAAAAACATCAGGTACACTGTTTTTGTGAGTTAAAGCCTTCATGCTACAATTTTCATTTTTTTTACATATTGTCCAGCAGTAAAATTCTATATACATTTATTTTGGTTACAAGCATTTCTTTGGACACATTTACCCTTAATTGTGGTATACCTTAGTGATGATTTCCACACATAAACACTAAAAATTGATAACTGAATGAGGTTGACCTTTTTTTTTTTTCAAATTAGCTTCAACAGACTTAAAAGAGTTTTATCAGAATATAAATAACTGATTAGAACAGTAGTGGTGAACACTACTCATTTTCTTTTAAAAACAGATACACATATACACATATCTCAGGGGAGATGACACATAACTCATTGTCACATACTCTAATGAAAAGCTTAGTTCATTTTCTCTCTCTTTCATTTCCTCTAAACTCTCTCTGGCCTACCCCTCAGCCAGCTGAAAAACAAACATGTGGCTACCACATTGGGGACAACAGAAAGTGTCTGCAAGCCCTGAGGGAAACAATCTAGCCACATCATGCTTTTTGTTCAATGGCAAAACTATTATTTACAAAATTAGAGAAACTCTAGTTTCTTCACACTCAACACTGAAATAAGTAATAATAATAATACTAGTAATATTAGTGATGATGATAACTTGTAGATATATAAAAGATACCTTTAACATGTTAGTTTTGGTAAGATACACAGCTGATACAACTTTTGGCCATGGGACTCGCTCTTTTTCAAAATTTTAAAATTGTTATTATTTATTTTTATTGGTATATTATAGTTATACATAAAATTGGGGTTCATTTTGACATAATTATACAAAAGTTAACTACAATCTGCTCCAATTCAGTCCCCAGTGCTTTCCCTTTTCTTCTCCTCCTCTCTCCTCCTATTACTTTCCCTCTATTTTATGAGTTTTTTTCTATTCTAGTTTTTTAAATTAGTGCAGTATAGATATACATAAATGTTATGTTCACTATAGTATATTAATTTTGTGGACAGTTTTACAGTGCATATCATAAAAAGAGAGATGGAATCATTCTGATTCCCTTTTTTGAGGTTCTAGCTTATCAATATCCATGTTTAAACTGCAACATCTCTACTAAACAAGAAATAAAAGTTGTCAGAAGGTTGAATTCCTAGAATTTGCAAATTAATTTACGTTTGTGGGATAGTTCATATATGTGGAAAATAGAATTATGCAGAAAGCCCAAACTGTAAAGCTGAGCCTCTGAATTACCAAAACCAGAATAGTAATGCCATAGTCAAAAGGACTAGGATTCAAGCGTAACTCTTCTGTTTGGGGCTCAGAAAGCTCATACAAATCTTGTTTCTCAGTGAAGACAATATATGTGTGTGCTTTGGTGCCACTATGTAATTTAAATAAAATAAGGGAAGTGGAAAGTTAGAGATTTTTAAGGTGAAAATGATTGAGAAAGAGATAGGTAAAGCATCTTACACATGGGAATCAATTGAGGATTTATAAAGACACTATGCACACACTTAAAAGTACTTAGGAGAGTAATAGGAATAAAGAACCAGCAATTGTTTTTTTTCACTTGAGTAGAATGGAGGAGAAGCAATATTCAAAGTCATTAGCATGTTTGTATTCCTTCCTTCCTCTCTTCCCCTTCTGCCACACATTGCTTCCAGTTATTCACTCAAATATAAAAAGGAGACAGTTGGCACACATTTGTCTATGTGTATCAAGCCTGAACTGAAAAAGATTATCTGTAAACAAAGTATATAGAAGAATTTCAGAAATAATCAATTTTAAATATAACAGTTTGGATTACCCAATCCTACTGAAACACCCAAGGAATAGAAAAATGGAATTTAACTCCAAAGAATGAAAAAGTATTTCATTCTGATTTCTTTAATGCATATTCATATGTGATTAAATAAAGAATTTTAGTCACGTTAATAAAATGGAAAAAATGAGAAGACATGATACTAAACAGGTGAATGGGTCTTGGAAATGCAGTGTATCAAAGTAATTTGGTAGTTGGCAAAATTACCTATAAGTGAAGACCAAGTTATTTGATTGAGCTGATGGAAAGTCCCATGATAAAAAGACAGCTCTTCTTCAATCTATGTGGTATACTAGAATCATTTCTGTGACTAATCAATAGGAGAACGCGTACTACAATTATGGTTTAAATATGAGGTGTCCACCAAAAGCTTATGTGTGGGACAATGCAAGAATACTCAGAGGTGAAATGATTAGATTATGAGAGCTATAACCTAACTAGTGGATTAATCCACTGATGTGGGTTACCCAGGTGATAACTGTAGGCAGGTAGGGTATGGCTAGAAAAAGTAGATCACTAGGGGTACACCTTTAGGATTTATATTTCATCTCTGGTGAACAGAGCTCTCTTTCTGCTTCCTGGTTGCCATGTCCTGAGATGCTTCCTCCTGCCACAC